TTATCTCTATTGTCAGTTCGAGTCCTCACCATGATGAAAGCAGCGTGTTCATTTTCTCTATTGTCAGTTTGAGTCCTCACCATGATGAAAGCCGCGTGTTCATTTTCTCTATTGTCAGTTTGAGTCCAGCCATGATGAAAGCCGCATGTTCATTATCTCTATTGTCAGTTTGAGTCCAGCCATGATGAAAGCAGCGTGTTCATTTTCTCTATTGTCAGTTTAAGTCCAGCCATGATGAAAGCAGCGTGTTCATTATCTCTATTGTCAGTTTGAGTCCCTGCCATGATTAAAGCAGCGAGTTCATTATATCTATTGTCAGTTTGAGTTCCTGCCATGATTAAAGCAACATGTTCATTATCTCTATTGTCAGTTTGAGTCCCTGCCATGATTAAAGCAACGTGTTCATTTTCTGTGTACGTGCTTAATAAAGATGCGTTTTCATTTTATTAGCTTTATCATAATGGCTGCAATATTCTGCAAATATCTTGCAACTATTATGGTTTACTTTGATAAAGCATTGGCCATCAAAGAATAGTTTGGCAAGTAGTAGCCTTTTTGTCACCCACTTCCAAACAGACTTCTTAGGTTTGCTGTGTGCCAGTTTCATAAAAGATCAAATAATTTTGAATACCTTTTGGAATACCTTACGCTATGCACAGATTTAAGTTAGCCCATTTTGTCATCTTATGATCCTAACCTGAGGCCTCTTAGGGTTGATTATTTTGATTTATGGTGCGATTGTGTTGCCTGATTACAGCAGAATAGTGGAACATCTTTAATTTTACTGCAACATTTTCTTTCATTGGGTGCCTGTGAGTTTGCGTTTTATTCAGACCAAGGAGAGGAATAGAGAAGATAACAGATTCATTGTTATCCTTTATCTGGAGGGAGATCTTATGTTGATAAATGATCCTCAAAGTTACATGCATGAGGTTAATCTATTAGGGGAGATTGTCATTTAAAGGAAAATTCAGTAATTTCTATCCTTAAAATTCGACGACTATGTTTGTATTCTAGGCTGACGATGATTGGTTGCCTGAGGTGCCAGATCGTTCCTTGGACTTAGGAATCCTGCCAACTGAGATACGCAAGCTGGTGGAGAGGCGTAAGCAAGTCAAACAGCTCATGAAACAACCGGACCTCAACGCTGATCTTAAACTCCAGGTAAGAAACATACAACATCCCCCCCCCCGTGCTGTACAGAAATACATTTTTTCTGCAGTGCCTTGATCAGTGATTATGTATTAGATTGTAGTCATAGATAGTCATGGAAAAGTTAATTTGCTCAGAAAGACTTTGATCATTGTCCGAAAAGTGCAGATGGACCGCAGAGTTTGAATAAAAGTGTTGCACATTACCATATAAGACTAGGAACGAAAAATCCTTGCATCCTAGGTAAACACACAAGCCTGTCTTTTGTTGAAATGGTTTGGCTACAGACACTTTTGCGTACTTTGCACATGACAGTGTTTAGACCATTAAAACATTTTCAACAAATGATAAACTGTTTTGAATGTTGCATTTTGTAAAGTTTGGATGCCTTGTATGCGAGAATTCC